CCGCTTGTACTTACCTACCATCCCACCAGCATCAACATCCAGAAGATCGTCAGACACCATTTCCGCCACCTCCAGCAAGATGCCACCAGCAGACACATATTCCTCCCCCAACCCCCCTTGTCCGCCTTCCGCAGGGATCATTTCCTCTGGGACACCCTGGTCCACACTTCCTTCACCCCCAACACCCCCCACAGCCCTACAGCACCTTCCCCTGTAACTGGCAAAGGTGCAACACCTGCCCATTTACCTCCTCCCTCCCCAGTATCCAAGGGCCCAAACATACTTTCCAGGTGAAGCAACATTTCACCTGCACTTCTCAGAATCTAGTCTACTGCATTCGCTTCTCACAATCTGGTCTCCTCTACATTGGGGAAATGAAGCATAGACTGGGTGACTGCTTCACAAAACATCTGTGTTCTGCTCACAAAAAAGACCCTGAACTACCTGTTGCCTGCCACTTTAACGCACCACCCTGTTCCCTGGCTAACTTCTCTGTCTCTGGCTTGCTGCAGTGTTCCAGCGAAGCTCAACGCAAGCTGGAAGAACAAGACCTCATTTTCTGCTTGGGGACCCTGCAGCCCCCTGGACTGAATATCGAGTTCAATAATTTTAGGACCTAAACTCTCCCACGTCCCAGCCCTCTACCCAACACAGCAGGCTTTGTTACCACATAGCCTGCCATTACACACCACCTGTTATTAGTCACTAATAGTCCCCATTAACAACTATTCACCCTCTCAGCCTGATCGTTATCAACCTTTGGCCTGTCCAACTGCTCTTGTCTCTCTTTAGGCTCTATTCTATTATTTACTCCCTACCCCATTCCCCTCCCCTTTTTTTCTGCATATAAACTGACGTTTTCCCAGCCACCATCATTTCTGAGGAAGGGTCAATGGACCCGAAACGTTAACTCTGTTTTTTCCTTCACAGATGCTGCCAGACCTGCTGAGCTTTTCCAGCAACTTTGTTTTTGTTCAAGATTCTTAAGGGGCTAGACAGGGCAAATGCTGAGAGGATGTTTCCCCTCATGGGAGCATCTAAGACCAGAGGATTTAATCTCAGACTAAAGGGTTGCCAATTTAAGACTGAGATGAGGAGGAATTTCTTCTCTCCATTTTGCCCCTACAGTCTCTGCAGCAGAGTTCCAGAGTCCTTCTATATGTTGGAGGCCAAGATAGATAGTTTCTTGATAGGGCAATCAACAGTTAAGGGGAAAGGGCAGGAATGTAAATAGGAGGAATAATGGATCAACCATGATCCTACTGAATGGTGAAGCAAGCTCAACCAAGAACAACCGATACTTGATCCTGTTTCTATTGTCTGAGGTCTTTCTTGTAACATTATCTGTAATATAGACTGAAGTAAATAAGATATTGCTTCAGTTTTTTTTGAGTATCTTTTTAAAACATAATGATTTGACTTTTTATACTTTTACTTAACGTCCCGAGGCTGAAACACTTGGTTGTTGCCTGCCTCTGTTCCAACACCTCTGCTTTTGTACAACTTGTCTCTCATATTAGGAATATAGGAAAAGGAGTAGGCATGTAGCTCTTCAAACCTGTTTCACTATTTAATGAGATCATGGCTTCTCTGTGGCCAACTTAATACACCTGCCTTTGGCCCATATCCTTTAATGCCTTTGCTTAACAAAACTTTATCTGTCTTAGATTTAAAACTCTAGCTCTGTACTTGATCTTGATTTACCATGTGCAACTTTACAAGAGATAGACTAATGCTCCATAAACTTCAGAAAGCACATTATGTTTACAGTGAGCTAGACACACCATATCTAAATTTGAGTTTTGATTGTTTTTTCAAAGAAAAGAAGTTACATTTTGAACGAAAAAGAGAGGAACAGTTTCTAATTATCACCTTTGTTAATACCCAAGTTATAATGTGATTGAAACTGAAAGAACTGTGGATGCTGTAAATCAGAAACAAAATCAGAAGTCGCTTGAAAAGCTCAGCAGGTCTGGCAGCAACTGTGAAGAAAAATCAGAGTTTACATTTTGGGTCCAATGACTCCTCTCATGCCTGCAATACCAACAGTGGTCACCAGTGGTGCAGAATTGCTGCAGTAACTATTTGCCTGAATCATAAAACAGTTACAAAGCACTATAAACAATAATAACAATTATTTTACTCGTCCAGATACTCGATCTTCTATATTTCTGCACCAAAGCGCTATAATTTAGAGTTCGCAAGTTGCTCAAAAGATTTCTAGACAGCTGGTGTTTCCCTACAATTTGTTTTCGCACGAGAGAGGTTACGTTGTGCCAGTTTTTGATTTATTTGTCCCGACTATAATTTTATGAAAATCTTATATTGTGGAAAACATTATCTTTATCTTTATTGTTACTTATAAACTATAACACATTTATGGAGGAAGATAGTGTTTTCATTGCTGTTGTCAATATAAATCAAAAAAATGAGAATGAATGGAATCTGATTATGAATTATCGACTATCAATATGCATTTAAAGTATGCTAGATTAGCATAACTTTGTCAGGGATAGTAAAAGTTAGTTTTAATGAGCCCTCTGTAACATCCAGGAATTTTGCTAGCATACAACAGAGTAAGTTCCTTGATATCTAGTCATTCAGAATTGTATTTTTCCATGTGATCCATGTGCTATAAATCTCATAATGCCATTTCTTAAGATCTAACTAAGTAATGTTACTGTGGAATTGCTTCCTCCTATGTTTTCCTCCTCCTCCCAGCTGATAGTTTATATGAAGAAAAAAAAACCTGATCCTAATTCTGCAAGGCTATTGCACTTCCCAGTACATTCCCTGTCATATCTCATCTTATCTTCCAACCTGCTGTCTCTGCAACAACCTGATACCCTTTCTCGAGGCCTCCGCTGCCCGTCACTATTACTTTACAAATAAGATGGTTATCAAAATTTGGCAACAACCCTCCCCCACATCATAGCTTATGAATTTTGAGGCATCTAGCTTCCAGCCACAACTTGCCTTAACAGCTTATAGTTCGTGAAAAACAAACATTTGAGTCAAATTTCTAACTATCTTCAATTGTACATGGAACAGATGATGTGCATTTGAAAAGTAATGTATTCACAGTTGATCATTTTAACATTCTCTTCCTCACAAATATGAACAATTTGAGATGAGACTGAACATTGCTATGCACTCCATAAGTTCAGTTGTTAATCATAAACTTTTAAACCAGCCTATTTGGGCATATTATGACATGCCTGACATCACATCTTACAGGGGGACTTGAATCCAATCTTCCAGTTCAGAAATAGGGGGAATATTTTCTAATCAACCTATTCAGAGATGTTATTACACATTCCAGAGCAGGTGGGGCTTGAATTCAGGTCTCTTGATTCAGAGGCAGGGACACTGTGTTAATCATATCCATTGTATTCAGGTGGTCAGCATTAATTGGTGGCTCATCTGTGCTTTCATATGGAAGCAGGCTGAATGACAGATTTTGCTTGGAAATGTAGAGTGCTGTAAACGCAATGTGTGTCTTTGTGAATAAAAGCCTGGAAGTGAATGAAGATTATGCTCTAGTGTTCAATCCTTGCCACCTAGATAAGAGAAATTTGCAGCATTAACATTAAACATTTTATTGGTAATGTTCTGTAGCTTTGTCCAAAACTGCTTTGTCAAGATTACAAAGATGTCAAATGACAGCATAAAATTCAAGGATATTGCACAGGTGGATAAAGATCAGTTCTATGTAGATGCTTCCAAATCAATATTACCTTGACGGGATATAATCATAAATCAGATTGTGGCAGATTATATTGAGGACATTAACAGAAACTAAACATCTGTTGGATTTCTACAGCATTGGTAGCTTTAGGCCATATTTCAGAATATTCTCTTCAAGTAATCCTGCCATGTAAATGGAACATTAGCTAAAGTTTGGTGGGGGTGGTGCTTTATAATTTAAAATTGTAATTTGAATTTTGATCTTAATTTAAAATTACATTTATTAATGCAACTATTTTTGTGTAGTTAGTACATATATATTTATTTGTGATCATATTCATGGTGAAAATATTATGTTTGTATGTTATGTGCAGTTGAATGTATACACTTAACGGTAAGGTCCTGGGCAATGTTGCTGAGCAAAGAGACTTTGGAGTGCATGTTCAGAGTTCCTTGAAAGTATAGTCACCGGTAGATAGGACAGTGAAGAAGGTGTTTGGTATACTTGCCTTTATTGGTCAATGCATTGAGTATAAGAGTTGGGAGGTCAAGGTTGTGGATGTACAGGACATTGGTTAGGCCACTTTTGGAATACTGTGTGCAATTCTGGTCTCCCTGCTATAGGAAGGATGTTGTGAAACTTGAAAGGGTTCAGAAAAGATTTACAAGGATGTTGCCAGTGTCCGAGGGTTTGCTGTACAGAAAGAGCTGAATAGACTGGGGCTATTTTCCCTGGAGTGTCGGAGACTGAGGGGTGACCTTATAGAGGTTTATAAAATCATGAGGGGCATGGATAGGGTAAATAGACAAAGTCTTTTCCCCAGGGTAGGGGAGTCCAAAGCTAGAGGGCATAGGTTTAAAGTGAGAGGGAAAAGATTTAAAAGGGACCTAAGGGGCAACATTTTCATGCAGAGGGTGGTGTGTGTATGGCATGAGCTGCCAGAGGAAATGTTGGAGGTTGGTACAATTGCAGAATTTAAAAGGCATCAGGATAGGTATATGAATAGGAAGGGTTTAGAGGGATATGGGCCAAATGCTGGCAAACAGGACTAGATTTATTTAGGATATCTGGTCAGCATGGATGAGTTGGACCAAAGGGTCTGTTTCTGTGCTGTACATCTCTTTGACTCTATGATTGCTAGGAAATTATATAGCATGTGTGTTGTAAGATAAATTTATGGGTTAGATGACCAAAAGAGAGGATTGACTATGTGTAGAGTTAGAAAATAGGGATTATCATGAGAAATCTTTCAAAGCTAACATATTTCAATATTTGTCATTGGTACTAATTGACTCTCTTTTGTTAACTGCAGGTTAGTGATGTATATTGAAAGAGACAGCAGAAAAGCCACACAGGGAAAGGAGCAGCAAAACAGCAATGAATACCTGTCTAAATGCCTGGATCTGTTAATCTGTCATATTGTCCAGGAGCTGCCAGGAATTATAGGTAAGTTGAACAAATAATGTATGAAATGTGCAGAAGAGTAGCTTACTAACCATATTCTGACTCTACATTTTGTGCAGTTTATGTAGAATTGTTATTGTAATGGGGTGTCTACCTCCATTAACAAGAATGCCAAGTTGTTTGCATTACAGCAGATATCCTGACACTTGAGACATCAACAGAAACCCGGTAGTCTGAAGGAGATGCAAGTCAAGTAAAAGCTTGTATTAAACTTACTTAAACAGCTTTACATTCCAAAATAAATATGGCATAGAATAGGTTATAGTTTAGTATAGTGCAGTATCTTCAAATATTTTTTAAAGTTCACTGAATTATTTTCAAAGATACATGGTTCAGATGGCCATAACAATGCCTTTTATTCATCTTTGATTGGAAGTGTACTGGTTTTAACTATCTACAAAGATGCTTTTTTTAACTTAAAGGCATGACATTGGTTCTATACTGCTTTGTTGCACACTTGTACACTTCCTGAAGACTGACATTAATCTAACGTTAACAGAGTTTAAACATCACGAAATGATTTACTGTATTAGCAAAACCTGGACAATTTTCAGTGCATAGGTTCAGGAGAATATGGTCTACATGGAACCTGACCATAGCTCCTTAAAGGGACTGTTGAAATTTTCCACAAAAAAAACTTTATTAAGAAGAAAGTATACATAATATACATAACTGAATTTGTGTGCAATGGAATACTCCTCCCAGATCTATCAGGCCTAAAGTTCCAGAGTAGGGATCATTTCCTATACCTGGTTTGGCCTCCAGTACAAACCAATTTCAAGTCATTTGTTTCAAGTCGTTTGTTTCAAAACAAAAACATTTCGAATTTGTTATGAAATCATTGCACAATTTGTGAAATAAAAGTACTTCTGAGTACCATTCAAGCTATACTTAACCACTTGTTACTCTAACTAAGAGAGATGCCTGTGGTCCATTTTGGACTGTTAGTTTAGTTAGCTTAATAAATCTAATTATTTACTTATAGAGAATATCTTGGTACATTAGAATTGATGATATGTTGTGAACACTGAGGTAATGTGCATTTCGGATGCGGTATAATTTGCAGTCTCTGGTTTGGCTCATTTGGGGTTGTCAATGTACTTGCACCGATAATGATTGTTCAAGTGGAGTTGGAATATTCTCCTTCATTAAGTGGTAAGGAAAAGAATGTTTGTGATTCTACTTTAAATCCCCAAGATTGTAAGAGTTTCTTTTGGAATTGCCTGCATCATCTGGTTTCCAGTAATAACTTCATTCAAAAGTTTCCTCGGTTAAATGGGGTGTAAATTTCTGAAACATGAGAATAAATTTAAGATTAACTGTGCAGATCGTAAAGTGTATCATCGCAATGATGTGTAGCGTTTTAGTGTGTACAGATGTTTTGATGACCATGGGCTGGTTACAGAAGGCATATCTCAACTTTTAACTCTTCTACATCTGAAATAGTACAGCATTGATATTTGAAGATGTCAATCGCAAAGTAACTCTGCTAAAAAATTGGATGTTGTTTATCTTTGATCTTAATTACACCTGATCACGGTATAGCTCAATTATTTGGTTAAAAAATCTGTGCTGTGAAAATGGAAGTAAATCAAAAGGCTAGAATCCAGAGATTCAAATTGACAGCTCCAAACATGGCAGAGTGCCATCAAAATGTTATCTCTACATGGAAACTCTACTTGACATTTAAAGTGTGGTCTCACAATTTTTTTTCTGATATTCAAGCATGGATTTTTAAAACAATGTAGAGCTTCTCGGTTTTTGAAAAAATGGCATAAATTGTCCAAAAGAGAAAGTCCTGACCCCAAGCATGCCGCCTACTATATTTGCGGAGGCAGAAATGGATTCAGGACAGGAGGTGCGCATTTCCGGAAGATAGTTACTCGTATAAATCAGCAGCTGCCTCCAGTCATGTGTGATTTTGGTGAGGTAGGAGTGCAAAAACATGATGTTGATTAAACCTGGTCTGAACTTTGTGAGTTTGATTCGCTGACCAAGATTCCCTTTTGGAGAGGTAAGATAACATAAGACCATAAGATATAGGAGGAGAATTAGGCCAATTGGCCCACTGAGTCGGCTCCGCCATTCGATCATGGCTGATATCTTACTCAACTGTATTCGCCTGCCTTATCCCCATAGCCCTTGATCGCTTTACTAATCAAGAACCTGTCTATCTCTGTCTTAATTGCACTCAATGATTTGATATCCACAGCTTTCTGCAGCAATGAGTTCCACAGATTCACCACTCTCGAGCTGAAGAAATTCCTCCTCGTCTTAGTTCTAACGGATCGTCCCTTCACACTAAGGCTGCACCCTTGTCTCTCCTACTAGTGGAAACATCTTTTCCACATCAACTCTATCAAAGCCTCTCAGTATTCAGTTAAGTTTCAATGATATTCCCCTGTCATATTTCTCAACTCCAGTGAGTACAGACCCACGATCCTCAACTGGTCCTCATATGACAAGTCCTCCATCTCTGGGATCATTTTGGTAAACCTCCTCCAAGGCCAACACATTCTTACTTAGATGAGGGTCCCAGAACTGCTCACAGTATTCTAAATGCAGTCTGACCAGAGCCTGATACAGCTCAGTACATCCCTGTTCTTGTATTTTAACCATAAAATTATAGAGTCATACAGCATGGAAACAGACCCTTTGGTCCAACTCGTCCATGCCAACCAAGTTTCCCAAACTAAACTAGTCCAACTTGCCTGTGTTTGGCCCATACCTCTCTAAACCTTTCCTATTCATGAACCTGTCCAAATGTCTTTTAAATGTTGTAACTGTACCTGCCCATTTGAAATGAATGTGAACATTAAAGGGGAGGCAATGCCATGAGGTATCATCACTATACTATTAAACCAGCAACCCAGGCAACATTCTGGAACCTGGGTTCAAATCCTGCCATGACAGATGGATTTGAATTCACTGAAAATCTGGAATTAAGAGTATAATGATGATCGTGAAAAGTCGTTGATTGTTGGAAAAATCTTTATGATCTATTATGATCTGAAACCTTCCCTAACGTCCTTTAGGGAAGGAAACTGTCATCCTTACCTGGTCTACATGTGACTCCAGACCCATAGCAATGTGACTGACTCTTAACTGCCCTCAGGATGGGCAATAAATGCTGCTTGAGCCAGCGATGCTCACATCCTGTGAATGAATTTAAAAAAACATTGTATTTGTCTTCCTAACTGTCAACTGAACCTGCATGTTAACTTTAAGAGAATCCTAAACTAGGACTCCCAAGTTCCTTTGTGCTTCAGGTTCCCGAAACCTTTCCCCAATTAGAAAATAGACTCGGCCTCTCTTCTTTCTACCAATGTGCATAACCTTACACTTTCCCACATTGTATTCCATCTGCCACTTCTTTGTCTACTCTCCTAGCCTGTCTAAATCCTTCTACAGCCTCCCTGCCTCCTCAACACTACCTGTCCTTCCAACTATCTTTGTGCCATCTGAAAACTTAGCAACAATGACCTCAGTTCCTTCGTCTAGATTGTTAATGTATAACGTGAATAATTGTGGTCCAAACAGTAACCCTGCTGAACTCCACTAGTCACTGGCTGCCATCTGAAAAAGACCCCCTTATTTCCACTGTCCACCTTCTGTCAGTCAGCCAGTTCTCTACCCAGCCAGTACCTTGCCCCTAACGCCATGGGCTATTATCTTATTTACCAACCTTCCATGCGGCGCCTTGTCAAAGGCCTTCTGGAAATCCAAATAGGTCATATCGACCTGCTCTCTTTCATCTAACTTGCTTGTTAGTTCCTCAAAGAATTCTGACAGATTTGTCAGGCATGACCTTTCCTTGATGAAGCTGTGCTGATTCAGCCCTATTTTACCATACACTTCCAAATACTCCACAATCTGATCTTTAATAATGAACTCTAAAATATCACTGATAACCCGTGACAGGCTAACCAGCCTATCATTTCCCGTTTCTGCCTCTGCCTTCTTAAACAGGGGTGTTATGTTTGCTACTTGCCAGTCCTCTGGAACTCTTCCTGAATCAAGTGATTCCTGAAAGATCACCATTACTGGCTCCACAATATCCTCAGCTATCTCCTTCAGAAAGTTCAGGTGTAATCCATTGGTTCAGATTATTTATCCACCTTCAGACCCTTCAACTTCCCCAGCACCATCTCCTTAGTAATGGCCACTACACTTACCTTTTCCCCTGACTCTCTTGAAGTTCTGGTATGCTATGGGTATCTTCTACAGTGAAGACTGATCCAAAATACAATGATCAATTCCTCCACCATTTATTTGATCCTTGTTACTATTTCTCCAGCCTCATTTTCCAGCAGTACAATGACCATTCCTCCCTCTCTCTTACCTTTTATATATCTAAAAAAGCTCTCACATTCTTCTTTTATATTACTAGCTAGTTTACCCATATATTTCATCTTCTCCCCACGTTATTGCTTTTTCAGTTATCCTCTGCTGGTTTTGAAAAGCTTCCCAATCTTCTAGTTTCCCTCTAATCTTCACTGTTAATCCTCATTGTATGCTTTTTCTTTACTTTGATACTATGCCTGACTTCCCTTGTCTCATCCCCCCACTTAGTGTATTTCTACTTCCTTGGAATGGATTTCTATTACGCCTCCTGAATTACCACCAGAGACTCCTACCATTGCTGCTCCATCGTATTCCCTGCTGGATTTCCCTTCCGGTCAACACTGGCCAGCTCCTACATCATGTCTTTTGGAGTTACCTTTACTCAATTGTAATACCGTTACATCTGATTTGAGCTTCTCTCAAACTGCAGGGTGAGTTTTACCATGTTATGGTGACTGCTGTCGAGGGGGCTCCTTCACTTTAAGCTCCCTGATCAAGTCTGCATACAATCAAGGGTTGGCTTGAATTGGCATTGGGTGGGAAATGGCCATAAGAATGTGTACAGGGCATAGGTTGTCATGGAGCTCATGAGATGGCATACATTGGTAGCCTGTGTGAAGTGTGTTAGGGATAAGGGC